CGCAGCTGATGGTCCAAAGACTGGGCAACGATTATTAAGGGTGGGCCCAAGGTGTTTTGAGCGTAATTTCTGAAACAACTGCAACAGGCTGCTTGGCTAACCCTACATCTAAGTTTGTTAGACTAACACCAGGGGCAAAAGCCAGCGCATGCGGAAACGACATGCGTCAAGCGCATGTCTTTCGCACTGGGTCGCGTCCTCGGATCAGTGATTGATAAAGGTGTCAATCACCTCTTTGGCACCTTTGTTTTTCCTTTGACTTTGCCCTGAAAAACAAAGGTGCCAAAGAGGTGATTGACACCTTTATCAATCACTGATCCGGAGACGCGACCAAGTGCGAACGACATGCGCTTGACGCATGTCGTTTCCGCATGCGCTTGACGCATGTCGTTTCCGCATGCGCTGGCTTTCGCCCCCGGTGTAAATCAATGAAATACAACATTGGCCGTCAACCCACACTGGCCGTAGAATCATTGTACCAGGCCAAGAGTATACCAGATTGGGACACAGCGACGGCGACAACCAGAGGAAGCGGAAGCCACGGAGTTTAAGAGAACATTGAAGCAGCGAGCGAATGTATGGGTTAGGACGATTTGACAGCGACAGCTGGCACAGTCCATGAACCTAGTAACGGACTTGAGGGGACAGAAGATAGCAGGGAAATAAATAAATGGGAAATAGATCAGAAGAAAGTGGCAGACATAATCCCAGGCGAAGTGGGGAGACCTGCAGTGTCTTTATACTCGGCGCGGGTGTACGTGGACCGCAGTTCAATAAATTGTTGGTCTGCAGCACAGTGGGAAGGCTTGTATCAGTGAGCAGTGTCTGAACTGCGGACCAAGAGCTGTCGAACCATGGGACGTACCTCTTCATCTCGAGGTTCTGTATCGGAATGCAAATGCACCGCTTGCAGTCCGGGATACGTGTGAACCAAATGCGAATTCACCCGCGGAAGCAGCGGAAATAACGGGCACTGCGTGAATGTTGGATTGTATGGGGATCAGTGTGAGCTTTGGAAAGGTCATTTGACATCAACCTTGTAGGACGAGGAGAGAGTGAAGAGGAAGGAGGTAACTCATATGGGATAAAAGCCACAACATGTACCAACAAATGAGGAGCACCTCGTTAAAGAATGGTTAATGAAGGCAAAGATATTTAGTTGCGGGTTCCTTGGCAAACACGGATAAAAAAAACTACATAAGTACGAGTTTGCCGGGCCGTGCCACGGCCATTACCCCCAAGTCACAACATTTTCAGAGTTGGTGATTTTTGGACACATATCGAAAATCTTGAAGTGATTTCCGTCTGTCAAACATGTGGTGTCCCTGAAAACCTAGAGCACATAGCAATGGAGTGTGATGCCTCTGGTGCCAAATTAATTTGGGGACTGACCAAGAAACTCTGGGCTATGAAATACCCCATGTGGCCTCGGCTCAGCTGGGGCAGTTGTAACCTTGTTAAATTCAAACACCCAAACAGGAAAATTGTACCTGCAATGGGAAGATTATTCGCCATTCTGGTATCGACGGCCTGGCACACGATCTGGAACATTCGGAATGACAAGGTTTTGAAGAATCCATGCCCCAACATGACAGATTCTGAGATTCATAATAGATGGCTGAAATCTGTTAATTCCGCACTGGGACGAGATCAAATCCTCACCAATAAACTGAAATTTGGTGACCTTGCACTGAATAAGGATCTTGTCCTAAGAACATGGAGTGGTGTACTAATGAATGAAGACTCGCTGCTGGATGACTGGACATATATAGTGGGGTGTTTTAGTGGGTATACAGCTGTTGAGATTGAATGATTCAAGAAATGAGGTAGGATAACTTTACGAAGGCTGGAGTCCCACACTATGGTACTTGTGCGTAATGGTGTTTCCTCCCTGGACAACCTCCCCGGCATTATATAGAATTTCCAGTAGACCCAGCAGATGACTTTGGAATGCTTCTGCAGACCGAAACTCATTATCTCAAATGCTCCAAAAAAAAAAAAAAGAGATCTCGTCGTAGCACAGAGATTAGCACCGCATTTGCGAGATAGGTTCGAGGGGTCGAGGCTTGGATAAGTTCATTACGCTCCTTAGAAGGTGTTTGGTGTTGGAATAATTCAGCAAGCCGATGCACTGAAACCATTCAATGGTTAGCATGGAGATGCACAGCAATGCACAGCCTGGAGATGTTGTGTTGAAACAACTACGTGTTCAGCTGGTCTGAAACACATTTTTCACTGTGTTCATTGTTTTATGTCCATTGTTCTATTTACATTGTTCTTGACGTATAAAAGGCCTCTTGATATCTCGAATAAATCACTTTCTTAATTCTCCTCACTCTTTTGGATTCTACATTCTCAAATTTGGCTATTACGATTGAAAGTACCTGTAGCAATGTAGGGATCCAGCATGGAGGTAAAAAAGAATTTCAGGGCCGCACTGCAGCTGATCCTGTCGAACTGGTCTTGACACGCGTCCTTCAGCCATTTCGTGCATCGCGGGAGTTGTATAACCACATCTGGGTCAGTTCTCGTTCTTTAAGGTATCCACAGAGGGACGTACCCGTTCTTGCATGTCGATGCACGTTCTGCGCTCAAAGGAATTGAGAAATAAACAAGAGGCATCGAATTCCCGCACGTACCCAATATCTTGAACCGGAAAGATTGACACTGGGCTGCACTGCACATCGACCCTGGAAGTGCGAGTGAGTCGATTCACGGAATTCCCTGGGTCTTACCAGGCGGGAACCATGCTCGGTACATCGGTCAGTCCATTTCCTGGGGGAATTTTAGCACGAATGACAACCATTGCGAACGAAGACATACCAATCATTACGGAGGAGATGTTGATTGGCGCGAAGCCCGCGGCTACGAGGCGCGGGTTATTGTCGTACACCGTAGAGGCAAATCCGGGGAGGTATCGTCCTTGAGATTCGTTTAAAGGGATAAAATCAGGGCAGCTGGTAGACACACCGCATAGGATTCGCCGGCCATGTGGAACCCACGCCCTTGGAATTTGCTGAAGTGAGCGAAGAATATTGCCACGAATGCGGCCACATCCGCGGCAGTCTCTTCGGTCGTGCTCTACGATATTACATTAACCACTGGAAAATCAATTGGGCAGAAGAGGCGCGACACGCACCATTGTCTCGTTGAAGTCCGCATACGAGAACCCCACCCCGATGGGCTGGTCTATGAGGATTGCGTCGGAGTTCAAAGATTCGGGGTGGAATACTGGTCCGCGATCTGCATCTACCACTCTGCACGGGCCTACGAAGATTGATTACGTCGATCGAATGATATCCGGGGGATAGATAACTGAACGGGATGAGCTGGCAGTACCTACCTAGCTGCAGAAGTAAGCCGATTCCAGACGAACAGCGCGGGCCTCATCCGTGGTCAATAACTCTGCGGGAAGAGATTAATGCAGGAATACCTCCGGTGGTCCCAAAGATCACATTATAGACGTCTGGGTTGCCTCTGCTTTCGAAGAAGTAGAAGAAAAGGTGGCGCACACCGACGTCGATGTACCCCGTGTACGCGCTGGCTCCATGTGAGTGATTCCTTCTGATTACCCGCCGTGATTGTGGCGCACCTCAGTCCCGTCGCAGAAAGTACTCTGCTTTATGCGGACACCGTGGTTCTGGAATAGAGGATGTGTTAGGGGGTTGAACGCGGCGTTGGAGAGAACATCGAGCGTCCCGACGGGCGCAAATACGCCGACACCAGTGGCCGCCTGCTACAGCCAAGCCCCCAGAAATAGGACAGAGAAAGCTGAAGCTCGGAGTGGATATCAGGGCATGAGGGTCTTGCTAGTCTGGGATGGTATCCGAAACTCAGTGCTTATAACTGGCGGACACGACGAGTTTGCGGAGATCGTGGGATGGGAGTGCGGAGATCCGAGCTGACTGTTCGAAGTGGTATAGATCGTGAGGGCTCCGGCTCTCCATGTATTTGGAATGTAGCCGGCAACAGATCAACGGATCGCAGAGCTGGCAAGTGAATCGGAGTCGGGTCGGCCACTGCGCTGCGACAGGAATTCCGAATCCACCCCAGCCCTCCAGTCCAGACCGAGGTGCCCGCGAGGATCATCAGTGTATATATCAATGACCCCCTTCGTAATCAATGTCAAAACTCAGCGGGTTGAGACCAGATTGTGAGCCTGGATCGTGGTAGAGGAGAGAAGGAAACGATCGGGTTAGATCGGGCGTTATCGGATCGAACTTTCGGCCATCAAATTGATACGCGATGGGTCCTGTCACCTCACACCAGGGGCAACCAAGGGGCAACACATGTGACACTGCGGGGGAATTCAAGGCGGATGTTATCATATGCGGAGCTTGCCCGTTCGACCGGGGTCTGATTTATGTGAGGTTTTCTGCTTGATGCTGTTGATTTAATTCGAACTCGTCTCTCCCAGTTCAGCTCAGCTGCAGCTCAGAGTGTTTATCAACTCGGTGGTGAAGCCATCACGTCTGCTGCAATTAAAGTTGGGAGACATTGTTATTGTGCGGAAGCCGCCCGTTCGACCCGGGCCTGAGTTATCCAGTGTTCAGAGTAGAAACTTATTTTGGTGATATCCCGCGCCCTCTGAATTGAGCAATATTAAACCTTTTTCTGTTGAATTTAAGCCACCTCCGCGACGTTCGGTGCCGGATGGACGGTGAATCACTCGTAATCGCAAGATGCTTGCACGGTTCAAGCGCTCCGAGAAACGCCCCGAGTGCAAATCGGCTCGCACCAGCACACCGTTATGTTGGCAGATCTGTTCTGCGGGGGTCGTCTGTTCGACTCAAGACTCGAGGCCCTTCAGTATTTCGAACCAACCTTTTCCTTGCGGTGTGCTTTAGTAGTGTATTCGCTGCACACAAGTCCAACTCTAGGGAACTTGATCATGAACGAGGACGATCTCGTAATCTCTTGCTCTGATCTTGTCTGCTTCCGTTCTCCCTGTAACATCAACTACAATCCCGTCTCACCTAGCTCAACTCGGTGCCCTTAGAAATTCGGTGGTGAAGGCATCACATCCGCCCCATATATTTGGTGTGCATTCGGCTGGATATTCCGCGGAAGGAGTCCGTTCGACCCGGGCCCGAGTTATGTGAGGTTTTGCTTTGATATCCCGCAGAGTTTTTTTTGTATATGTTGCGAAGGTAAACGAATGTGGGGGAGTTACAATGGAAAATACATTTGGGATTTGATACAGTACTGGGGAGTCCGTGAGCTGATAAGGTAGTGTCCGTAGTCTGTGCTACTAGGCGTCCATAGTCCACAAGCTCCGTTGCTACTAATGTGATAGAGCGGCCTACAATCGTTAAAGTGTCCGTGGGCGGCATCGTGAGGTTAACTAGTCGATATCACGTCCGGATTGGAGAAGAAGGGCAGCGGTGACGCAGAGCTCGAGCAGGCCGATTTGGACAGCCTCCTGTGTAAGCTCGAGTGCGACCTCTCCATCTTCACGGAATACCCGCGCATAAATTTGGGGCACTCCCAGGCCGGCAGAGTACAGCTGAAGCGCGTCGTTAGACGCTAACATACAGTGAATATACTGCACACGCACGCAAATGTACTTTCCGTCCGGTGCCCAGACGAAAGTTTTTCCGAGTGCCGACATTGTCCGATAACTGCATTCAAATGTGAGTATGCCGGCCGGCAAGCATAGAATCAGAATGGGGCACCTTTTCTCCGCCGACAGAGCCTGCCAATGCGAAGTTTGTCTCTTCGACAATATGTTGCGGATCTCGACGATGGGGTGTTTCGACCACTCGATTATGACCACCGGCTGGTTGGCGGAATCGTGGATCACGCTGAATCCCACCGTCGGAGAATCGGTTTTGACGCGAAAGAATGTGCGCGATTTTGGACCAGTGACGGTCGAGTCCAGGAGCGTGGGACTACAAGAAGTGAATCGGAAAGTAAGGAACGTCGGGGACGAAATCGGCGTGGGGTAGGGAAGTGCCCCAAAAATCGAGGGCTGCGGGACACTCCGGCCGGAAGAACCTGCGTTAGGATTGGCCGTGTTCGTCCATCCGCCTTGGGCATAGGGGTTGAACATCTCGAGGTATCCGCGGGGGGTCGATGGCTCGAAATCTGAAGCATCAGAATTCCAGAACTCGCCTTTAATAGGACTGTTGATCCTGCACCCCATGGGATGAACCGAACGCATGAGGGTAAAACGGCCGACAGTTAGCGAAGGCTTACCGGGGCCACACCTTACGGAAGGTCGGTGCGCGTATATTTCCGTGAATACAGAAAGAAGGACCACCGGGGTGCCATTCAAGGCGGTGACTCGTTCAGCAGCGAAGCAGTGCACATTTTCGTGGAAGTCAGGTGGAAGCAGCGTAGATCAGTAGCAGTGGCGGTCAGCTCCCATATGACGACAGATCCGAGTCAGCCCGAGCCTAATCTCGACTCTGTCCGCTGGCTATCTCATCTGAGAATTACATGAACGAAAGGAAATAAGAAGTGGTATGAATATTATATGGGGATTTTGAACTGAGTGCTTGTCCGATGCCTGGTGGCAGAAGGGTCCACAGGCACGTACATATATACTCGCTTCGTTCACGGCAACCCTTTCTGAACTCAGGCGAGGATGGATCCACAATAGCCCACAATTGATGCCATCTGGATCACCCGGCGCTTGTTTCATGGAGATTTCGGAGAACGACGGCTTGGCATCGTGATAGGCGCCCGTGCGTCTAAGTCGTTCTTGCTCTCCGTATTGGACTCAGAAACGTTCTTCTCTGTCCAGAGAGCAGTCCACGTTCCGGATCCGGCACAGTAGCACACAAATCAACTGCTCTTCATTCATTAATCCCGTTCTACACAACCAAATGTAGCGGCCGGACTGGATCCATTTCTTCCCCGCAAACAATGGACCTTGAATGGACCGGACCGATATGACTCCAGCTGCCTTTCTTCGATCCACCGGACAGGCTTGCGGGGAGCCCCTATCTGGAGTACAGCATGTGAGGTACGAGCCTCATTCATCTGTTTATAACCTCAACCCCTGCAGTACTCTACCCGTACTCGGCTTATGATACGGAGCAGAATAGAGCCGCCGCCGGTCCATTCAAATCCTTGAGATTTCCCACGTTTCTCCATGGACCATGACGGCGATTGAGTAGCGATTTGCAGTGCTTCGCCTCTAATTTAGCCGAACTGCTCTTGTAAGATCACCGAACGTTTGGTATCGCGCATCACAGGAACAAGTAATTTAACAGTCACACATTGGCAAGCGGGTGTGGCGCATATCCAGGTGTTTGAGCCTGAGACGAGTCGCATCCCCTGCGTTGGTGACCGCGACCTCCAAGAGCTCCCGAAGCCGAATTTCCCGCCGAATCTGAGCATAATTGGCGTTCGTGAAGGTCAAACTGGTGAAGCAAACCTCAATTTGGTTCTTGAGGACTGTCATATCCTGTATGCAACGGAATATCCGCAACGAATGTCCTCGGAGCAGGTTCCATATCTTACACCACGGCCGCAGGGAGTTGCGGAGCTGCCGCTCTTGAATTTCCGAGACTGTCCACTGAAGGCTATGCATAAGCGGAGGTTGAAGCCGAAAATAGTATGCCAGGATATCGCCAATCTTACTGGTGCAATGATTCGGTGATTTCTGGATCCGGGGACGGGCTGAGAAGCCCTGAGATCTGTGGTCTAGGCGTTCGGCTCCGCACAAACAGTCGTATATGACTCTGCAGATTCTTGTGGATAAAGCCAGCCAGACGAGAAACGTGATGATCAGAGCCGACAGTCCGAGGAGCATGCAGCGTACGCAGGGACGGCCTCTTAGCGCATGGGCCGCGATATCAACCACGGCTTGGCAGTCTACAGTGACTTAGAGCGAGGGAGTAGGCGGCATTGTGCTGGTGGGACTCATTCTCATTGTGCATCCGCCGTTATACGGCCTTCTGTTGTATATGTCCAGCCCCGGTTCGAGATCTGGACCATACATGCGCCAGGCTCACACACATATGTACGTGAGTCTGATAAAGAACGCGCACCAAGTGTGGATAACAGGAGGGAATTGGAGTAGTTGGATTAGCGTTGCCGCAGTGCGAGCCGAGTCGATGCGAGTTAGCCAATATCAACGAGGACGAGAGTTCGAGTTGGCGTTCCCCAGGGGCACGGTCCCCAATTTAGTGAACGAGTGGGAACCACAGTAAATGAATGTCCGTTGACCGTGTATGAGCCCGATGTATGATTCAATTACACCCCGGGAGTTCACATGGAGAATATTGCACGAACCGGACTCAAATCGGGATTTCGAACATGGAAGGCCCAAGGATTTCATGTGGGCAAGCAAGAAGGTCCTGAATGAACGCACTCAGGCATGGTCTATCAAATTCATGCACTCCACGGCCGAGCTGAGTTACACACGGTTGGAAGGCACACCGATCTACGTATGTGCGTGCAGACTCGCGTGGATACGGCAGTTGCGCGCGGAGCGTACATCAGAGGGAAAGGGCGCACCTTTACAGCGGAGCGGGACACGGATGAGAGGAGCGGCGTGTACGCATGCACAGTTCCATCCTTCCCGCCCGTCCGCCCTCGCCCGTTTGGGGGCACGCGCGCGCGCAGGCGGTTGAATCCCGGTCGCGGGAGCGCGTTTACGCCACGGAGCCGGCGCGGTGGCCACTTTGGTGAGGTAGTCGCGTGAGCTGTGGTCCTGCGGGGCGTAGGGGGGTTAGTTTGTGTGGGATGTGGGAGGCGAGGGAGGGGGCGGGAGGGGGGAGAAGGAGCGAAGGAGCGAGGGAGGGGCGCGCATGGGGAGCCGCGGACGTCGGGGGAGGCGCAGACAGAATGAAACAGGCGGGGAAGAAAGGGAAGGCAGGGTAGGGTCGGAGCGCTGGAAAGGACGAAAAGGATACGAAAGGGGACAAAGGGGCGGGGACCAGAGGATGAGTCACGCACGGGCAGTCCACACGCGAAGCACTTGGGTGGCTGCGGAACGCCGCAGCGGAAGCTACCACACGCATCACAATCGCGCGCTCCTCCTACCTTCTTCGGTCTCAGGGGGACAAAGCACAGTTCAGGCTGTTGCCGTCAGCATTCGTGTCGAATCCGAGGTGGAGGGGGGACACACCAGATACGGAACCGCGGGCCGCCCGTGCGGGTCGTGGGCACCGTCGTGGCGAGCATCGACGGCGTGCGGGAGTGAAAAAAACGAGTAACGGCGATGGCTGATGGCTGATGAGGATGCCGTTGGTGATCCGGCGCACGGACCTTGCACGCGTTTGCGGTCGTGGCGTTTTCGCGCTGCGTTGAAGTCAGTTTAATGCAGAATTGGGAGGGGATCGGAAGCCCCGAGGTGCTGCGGCATGTGGTGCCGCCTCGCGGCCCGCCGTCTGTTCGACTCAGGCTCGGGGCATGCGCTACCTTGGGAACGACGTCTTTTGTCTAGGGCGGGAGGCCTTTATGTTTTCATTCGGGCTAGTGGCGTACAGTTACATGCAATAGGCCTGGTGATTTTCTCCCTCCTTTTTTTGGTCTCGACGCAGGAAATGGCAGCATTGTGCCTTCAAGTTGTGTTTCCTGGAGTAATTGAGTCTCGACGGCGCGGCACGATTTGCGCGCGCGCAGTTGATTAACGCCGGAGGGAGGCTGTGAATTAAGCAACGCAAGTGCTGAACCATTCTCGCTCCTTGAATTAATTATTTTACTCATCCAACCTTTAGAGAGCGCGCACAGGGAGAGCGAGAGCGCAGGTCGGAGGGCGAGCCGCGGGGCGCGCAGGCGGAGGACGACATGGCGGTGAGAGTGAAAAAAAGGGTAACGATAATGCGGGACTGAGGTAATTTTGTTGAAGAACTGGGAGGACACTGGACACGAGGAGCGGCGCATGTGGCGCCGAATTGTGGAGGCCGTAGTCCGTTCGACTCAGAATCGGGTGGGCCAAACTTAATCGAGAGCGGTGTATGGCAGTTTTTATGCGCCGGCGGTATTATCTCGCCGATCTCGCCGGGGGCGGGACCGTGTAATTTTCTTCGGGCTAGCTCTTGTGCACCATCGGTCTTTACGACGACAGTTCTAATCCCGCCGCTGCGGATTTGATGTATCTCCCCGAGCTGGCTCAAAAGAGCAAACAACTCGGTGGTGAA